GCGGAGGAGGAGGAGGAGGAGGAGGAGGAGGAGGAGCTGGTGAAAGAGGAGGAGGATACATAGATTAGGGTAAAAGCTTGTATGCTTGTATATACACGCTTGAAAATTCAACACAAACTTAACAATTCAACAACATCAATGCCGATCAATCTATAAGATAAAAACCACATATTCACTCTGCTCCTGGTCCTGGCACCACTGCCGACATTCCCTCCATCCTGACTGGAGTGCTGGATAGGTCGACTTCGTGCCTCACTGCTGCCCCTGCTGTGCTCGCCTCCTGCTTGCCCTCCACGGAGACTGTGATGGGCATGACAAGGTCGTTCTTCACGTCGTCCATGAGCATCCTGACTTCGTTGGCAATGAGGATCCTGCAAAGAAGAAGTGAGGAGAGTGAATGGATGGAGGAGGGAAGGAAAGTCAAGACCGGGAAGAGAGGAGAGGAAGAGAGGGAAGGGAGAAGGGGAGACGAGAGAAAAGAGGAGGGAGGAGACAAGGTGGAGGACAGAAGAGAAGGGAAAGAGAGCAGGGAGAAGAAGGGAAGGAGAAGGAGAGAAGGAGGGGAGAAGAGGGGAGAGAAGAAGAGAAGGAGGGGAGAAGAGGGGAGAGAAGAGGAGAAGGAGGGGAGAAGGAGGGGAGAAGGAGAGAGATGGGAGACTTACTTCTCTCTGTTGATATCGCGAAGGAGCGACGGGTAGGTAGACAGGCCGCTGGTCTTCATGCCAAAGACGACGGTGGAGAGGAGCAGGGAGGCCAAGTTGACAGCTGAGGTCTGCTCGAGCGTGAGCATGATCTTGAGCGAGAGAGCTGCGGTAGGAACAACTTCGAACGCCACCATGAAGAGATCGCCCTTGAGACGCGCAGCCTCGCGCTGCAGGTCCTCCAGGAGGTCCAGGCTGCTGATGTTGCCCATGGTGGTGGAACTCTCGCGCAGGACGGTGAAGTGACGGAAAATCTTCTTCTCGAGCATGGCGATCTCCGGGTCCTCGGGGACGGGGGAGGGGGAGATGCGGGAGGAGGTGGACGTCTCCTTCCTCAGCTTCTTTGTCTCGGGGTACATGTCGTCGATGACGTTCTTGGTGTGCTTCATGATGAAGTGGTCGTGCTTGTTCTTGTCCCTCTGGATCATGATGTGCTTGAACTGCAGGAACGAAAGTCGCAGCGTCGAGAAGGTCGCGATCCAGCTGGCGGCCGAGCAGAGGATACAGACGGGAAGGATGTTGATCAGGCTCTTGCTGCGGGAAAACGTTCAGCTCCCCCTTCCCCAGCTGCCGCTGACACATCAGCACAAGCGCCAAACCTGCCGACGACGTTGATGATGATGGTGAGCATGAAGGAGAGAACGTCGGCCACGTTGATAACGCAGTCAGAAAGGATGCAGATCTCCTGCGCAAACTCGTCAGCTGCTGCGCTGGCATGAGATGTACGCTATCACCTCGGCGAAGACGGCTGCGAGCACCTTGTTGATGTCTACCTTGCCGCTGCGCACGGCGAACATGATGGAGCCGAGGAGGAGAGCGGCGACGAAGAGGACGGCTCCGAGGAGGATGTAGGCAGTCGTGTTGGGCTGGAGGGAGGAGGGGTTGAGGAGGCTAAACCCGTCGCAGGAGATGGCTTGCACGAGCTGGTGGCTCTTCTGGATGTCGGCGAAGGCGATGGGAGCGAGGCCCTGCCCGGTCAAGCTGGAGTTGTAGTTGAGGCCCTGGATGTAGCCCGTCGCTAGGGGATGCCCGTAGATCCACCCGAGGTACTCCTGCATGGTGATGACAGGGTCGTTACCTTCACAGGTGAGATTCAGCTGGAGATCCTTCTTGTACTGGAGCTGAGTCATGATGCTGTACGACTCGGCAAAGGGGTAGCAGCCCTTTGACATGTCCCCCTCGTTGAGATTGTACCCGGCGCCTCCCGGCAGTAGCGTCTGCGGGGTAGCACATTTCATGACAGCGACGAGGGAGAAGTCGACGGGGCCGACCGATCCGTTCTTGAGGGAGGCCACGTTGAGCCCCGAGGGCAGGCTGACGAGCGAGGAGAGTGCAACGATGTCTGATCGCTCAGTGACGTACCCGTAGATGGTCTGCGTGTCAAGGAAGTGGTTGGAGGAGCCGCAGTTCCATGAGCTCATGGTGAAGGACTTGTTCTCCCTCGCAAGATACTCGGTAGCCACTGTCTGCATCTCCGAGCCCTTGGTCGGGCACAGGACGGTGAGCTTGGAGGAGAGGATCTCGGGGGGAAGCGACGGGTCGACATCCTTCCACGTCACCGTGGGTGAGCTGACGATCTTGGAGATGGTGGAGGCGCTGACGGAGATCTTTGTGCTCTTGTACTTGCACGTGTCCGTGAGCCTGGCGTTGCCGCAGAGGTTGAAGAGAAGACCGAAGACAACGCCAGCAAGAGGCGCCTGCATGTACTGCGACTTGGTGTTGGAGGGCAACCTGAAGTGTTTGTCAGGCTTGCTTCACAGCTGCACTCCAAGACGTACTGGGAGGATCGAACAAGCGAGATGCCCGCGCGGTCCTTGGAGCCGTAGGTCAGAGAGACGCTGGAGCTCTTGTTCTCGAAGTTGACGAGCATCGCAGACGCGTTGATGTCCTGCACGTTAAGTCAGCGAGGGGCAGGGAGCAGTTGACGACTCGCTGACCGAGTAGGACTGGGAGAGGATGGTCATGAAGGGAGAGAGTGCAGGGATGGTGGACTGGTTGACGTCGAGGAAGGGCGTCGGCTTGACCACTGGGACTCCCTTGCACAGGATGTCCTCCTTGAGGCGAGCAAGCACTGTGTTCCTCACGATGATGGGCAGGGGAGAGAAGCCGTGGGTACGTGCGATGTCGTTGGCAGCAGGAGAGGTATGGAACCACTCCCAGTAAGCAACAGTCGCCGCGCGAGTCTCGCAGGACCCTCCGGTGCGAATGGTATCCTTCCTCATGGCAAGGTAGGAGTATCCAGCCATGGGCCAGGCAAGCAGACCCTTGGCGTTGAACACGTTGGCTGTCAGGTGGTCGGGGCTGTCGCCGTTGTTGCCAAAGTCTGCAAGGGAAGTCAGCACGGGAGGTGCGAGAGAGGAGACAGTAGCCTACCCATCCCCTTCTCCGACACGGCGAACTCCACTCCTTCTTCCGTTGGCTTCACGACCTGCGTGCTTCCTGGCTTCACCACGCTCGCCATGCGCAGCCCGATTCTCACAGCGTCACTGAGCACGGAGTAACCGATGCCGTAGGGTGTGGCAACTACCCCTGAAGCCACCCCAGGGTTCCCATCGCGTGCATGCGTGTAGTTGTTGCCAAGGTAGGGAGACTTCCAGGCGGTGTTGGAGTTGTTTGCGATGCCGAAGTAGACATTGAACATGGGGTCGACGTCAGAGAGGGTATTCTTGAAGATTTCGGTGGTACCGGAAGAATCAGACCTGACGAACACCTTGATCTTCTGGTTGACTGTAGCCAGGATGGCGTCCACTCCATTGTTTCCCTTGTTGTTATCGACGATGCTGGGATGGTTCCAGTACTCAATCTTCCCGGCAAAGATGTCGACGATAGTCTGCATGTGCAGAATCAGGTCGAGATTTGTTGGCAGCTCAGGGATGTTGTAGATGGGAACGACTGCTCCTGCGATAGCAGGGTAAAGCTGCATGTCAGGATACTTCTTGTAGTCATCAGGTGTCAGGATCTCGTCTGAGCCACAGAAGTCGATGTCGTAAGGAGGTCCGTGCGAATCAGGCGACATCGTGCTTCCTTGCATGATACGCTTCAACCCTCCTCCTGATCCCGTCGGGTGATAGTGCACTTTCACGTTGGGGTTCACGAACTGGTACGTATAGACAGCTCCTTCATACACGTCCTGCACGAAGGTACTTCCAGCTCCGTAGATGTTGAGCACAGCCGCCGAGGTTGTGCTAAGGTTTGCTGCAAAGAGCAGCGCAAAAACGACCAGAACAAGTTTGTATTGCATGCTATCTTCCACGAATGAAGACAAGTCAGCGGTATCTTTGAGATATAGAAAGGGTGCGAACAAACAACTTCACAAGCACGTTGCAGCCGCACGGAGCAGGTAGGTCTGTACCACAAGGGTACGAACTTGCTCCAACAAAGAAATTCGTTTGCCGCTCAGGCAGACCCTTACAACCGTACCCGAGGCTCAAGGATTGGAGAGGATAGTGGGATGTATGCAGAGAAGAGGAGGAGGAGGAGGGAGGGAGGGAGGGAGGGAGGGAGAAGGGTCCCTCAGTCTCTGAGCGGAACGGGAGGCGGCGGTGGAGGCAACGATATGGGCAACGTGGGGAATGGTGAAGACGTTCCGGAGCCTTAAAAATGGTCGTGAGCGGTTGGGGTGGGGTAGTCAAAATAGTAAGAATAATTGGTGAGGGGGAGGAAACGGGGTGGGTGTGGAGAAATATGGAGGGGTCAAAGGACAGTGGGGGTCACAAAAGGGGGTGAGGGGTCCACAAAAACTGTCAGCACCCCTTCTTTTATCGCCCTGCCCAAAGATGAAATCACATCCACTTTCAGATTAGGTGTAGAATAGGAGCAATCGGAGATTGCCGTGGGTTGGGGTACAGCGTATGAGGTGGGGGTGGAGGGCAGAGGGGTCAAAGTGCAATGATGAGACTTCCGTATCGGGGTGGGACAATACAGAAGGGGTGGTCAAACGAAACGTTGCTATCTTACATGGACTTCTTTTTTAATATGGAAGTAGAGTGTCCAGTGAGGGGTGGGTAGTGTCTGGGTAATCATGAGGGTACGGGGGTCCCTCTGAATGATCGGGCGGAACATGTAAAATGAAATTTATTAGTCAAATCAGCTTGCAGGAGTCGGTGGGTTCAGTGAGGTAGGTAAAAGGGCTTTAGACCAGGGGTGGGTGACCCGATGATTGCTAAAAAACTCTAAGAGTGGATAGGGGTGATGGTGTTCCGGTTACACCAACTGGGGGTGGGTATTTATGGGTGGGTGGGGGTCGTGCTACATCTTCTCAACTCGCAATAGTCGTACGAACAACCCTCTCCTCTCTTGCACCCCCCTCTATCCCTCTTAAAGTACCCCTCTGATCGATCCTCTACATCCCCGAGACTCTTCTCGTTCCCTCAGCAAGACGAAACCACCTCTCTTCCAATGCGGGACTACAACCGTATCTACCTCCCCGCCCTTATAATTCACCGTCACCACCCCTATCCACTACTCTATCTTATCTATAGGGGTTGTCCGTCAGCCAACACTGTGTCAGTGACAGTGAACGGGAACCGTTGAACCCCCCGGGCCCCCGGGCCCCTTCCCTCACTGCCTGAGTCAGCTGAGGGCGCACCGCGGCGGCGGCGACCACGGACTTCCGAAGTTCTCCGCCCGGCCCGGGCCCCCGCGTCACAGTGTGATGCCGCCGCACCGTCGGTAACTCAGTGACTCCGGCGCCGTGACTGAGTCCGATACGGTCGGCGGACAGAGTCCCGGTCCGGCTCGGCCCGACTCAGCTCAGCGGCCGGCTGCCGCAGCGCGCCGCTGAGCCCGGCCGCCAGCCTGAGGGGCCGGCGGGCCGGCGGGGCGCGGCCGAGTGGGGGATTCGGGGGGTGGGGCCGCATGCCCTGACAGTCACTGAGTGCTACGGTGAGGGGCCGGCGCCAGGCGGGGGGCCGGGCCCGGGCCGCCGGGCCCCCGGCCGGCGTCCGAGTCAGCCTAGCCCGCCCCGCCGCTGAGCCTGAGTGTGCCCGCCGGGATCGGCCCCGCATAGGCATACACGGCCGGGCGCGGCCCGGCGACCGTCAGCCTCGCTGGCCCGTTCCGGCCCGCCCGGCCCGGCGGGCCGGGATGCCCGGGACTCGGACCGACGGTTCGGAAGTTCACACCACGGTCCGGAGTTTCGGGGGGTGGCGGGGATGAGGGCTAAGCTTGACACTGGGTTACGTCATGCAAGAAAGTCGGAGGAGGAACGCGGGGAGGGAGGAGGAAGAGAAAGAAAACAAGAGCGTTGTAAGTCCTATGCTATACTCTCTTACGCCTCCCCTCTTGTCTCTTCGCTCCTTAAACACTGCTGTCGGCTTCCTCTTCTTGTTGGTGTGCTGGCGAGTTTCCAATGTTTGTATTTTAATCAGGTCCGACGCCCTCCATCAAGACGAGGAAAACAAAGCATCTTTCGTAGGTTTGCTCACTGACTCTATACCGCATGGCTTTCTGATTCACACTCCTCCAATCAGCGCTATGACTTACTACAGGCGCGTGAATGAAATCGTCCACGTTCCTTTTCTTGTCGTGTTTTCGATTGCGCTGGCAGTGGCATTCACACATGTGAGCAACAAGGGTGAGGATTTCGGTGAGAGCGATGGAAGCGATCAGACTACGTCATCGAATTGGGTCTGGGGGTACGGAGAAGGGAAGGTGATCCATCATGTGCGAGGCCTCTGACCGCCAAGCGCTCTGACCATCAGGGGCGACAGGACATGGTGGTGCGGGTCAACTGCACCTCTTATCGGCATGTCATGTACGATACGGTAGTGGAGTTTGGGCATGGAAGCGGAGGAGGCATTGCTTTCCGAACGAGGGATAGCGAACAACCGCGGCAAGCCTTCGCGATCAACCACTTTGCAGGATGTGATGCCTGCTGATGCAGATGGGTGTGGGAAGATGGGTCGGTGGAGTTTCAAGACAAGCTCGCATGTGATGATCTCGCAAGCTCGCTCAAGAAATCCACGAAAAGGGGGATTCCAAAGTACAGGTTCTTTAACAGGTATCAGGTCTTGTTTCTTTCCACCGAAGTGTCGATAACAGGTTGTTTCACTCAACTCAGATACAACAAGGTGTTCTGGATAGCAAGCATGAAAGATGGAGTTATCACCTTCAGGAATGCGTTGAATCCCGTCTCGATCCAACTGCATGTAAGTGATGGATTTCCAAAGCCCTCACCCAGCCTTCCACTGCCTCCCCTCTTTCCCCTCTTCTCCTCCCTCATTCGTTCGCCCTTCCCTGCTTCCCTACCTCACGTCTATGCCGCCCTCCCTCCTTCCGTCTTTCTCCCCCTCCCCTCCCCGTCTCTCCCTTCCTGACTGACTCCCTCTCCCTCCCTGCACTTGTATCCCTTACAGGGCGACGGCTTCACTTTCCATGGGACGAAAGGAGTTCAATTCAGCGTGAGGAACCTGATTCGAAGCCTGTTTGTATGAAGATTGTGTCTCAGGTGATCAAGGGCGAGATTGTAGGGCAGTTGGTGAATGCAACGGAGAAGAGAAACATATCTGGCTACAACTTCTCAGAGTTTGTTGTCTTAAAGAATCCAGAACCACTACAAGAAGGTAAGAAGAAATAAACCTCTGATTTCAATGTCTGCACCTTTTTTCTCCTCGTACGACATTGCGGAGACAAAATGTCTTGAGAGATCTGTGGCAAACAAACTGAATGCCAAAAGTATAATTCCTGTAACTCTTTCGCATCTTAGTACAGATTGCCATCCTCAGACATGTATTCATCTTATCCTATCACACTCACTCCCTCCCCTTCCTCCCCTCTTCTCCCCTCTTCTCCCCTCATCTCCCCTCCCTCCCCTCTTCTCCCCTCCCTCCCCTCTTCTCCCCTCTTCTCCCCTCTTCTCCCCTCTTCTCCCTCCCCTCCCCTTTCTTGCCCTCCCTTTTCTCGCCCTCCCTGCTCTGCCCTGTTACCCCGATCTGTTGAAAAAGTCACATGTACGGTTAGGGCCGCAGAAGTACCCTACCCCATCATGACACCACCCCACCTCATTCAGAAATAGTAAAATGAGGGGTTTAATTCCAGATGAATTACCACCCTACCTACATCTATCCATATAGCTTGTTTACGGAATTCCGTCGCCATGTTGGAGGAGGAGGGCATGGCGGATGCGATCTTGACTAGGAAGAAGACAATGCTGAAGCAGAGGAAGGTTGGATGCGAACGCACATCTTCCTCCCCTCCTCCCTCCTCCCTCTTCTCTCCCTCCCTCTCCTCACCCATTCCTTCCTGCTCTTTCGATCTGCCCACCTTCGCTGTCGCTAATCCTTCTCTCCATGCCTTAGCATGCTCTGCTCGTGTGAATCTGACGTGTGTTGATGTGGGAGAAACGAGCTGACTCTAGAGCGTCTCAGTACGGACTGAAGCCCAACCAAGAAGCAAGCAGGCCAGGATCCGCTTCCGCTTATGGCATTGACGACCACATGAACGAACGAAAAGATCCCAACGAGGGGAAGACGAGAAAGAAGCTTGGTGATTGGATGAAATCAAACAAACCCGCTGTAGTTGGCTGTCGTGCTCCGTCTCTTCGCCTGACGCGCTTTGATACGCAGACCCTGAACTCAGACAACAACGATGCTCAAAGTGTTGATAGTGTCATCAGTCTGCGCCAAGACGAGATGAGAAGAATAAACGCGAAGCAGACCAAGGAGACGGTTTTCACCTCAGACATGGTGACGAATGTCACTGTACGTGTTTGCTTCGCCTTCTGAAGCATGACAGGGAGAGATGGGTCATCTTCACTTCAGGGTGCATGGGCTGGTGAACTTGGACGACAAGTCGCATCAAGAGGTGGTTCGGCTTGCCATGGAGCATGCTGATGATGCTGGAGCAGACGGGTCGAGTTCTTCTCTCCGCTGAGATGGTCACGGCTGAGTACAGCAGAAAGAAGTCCATCCTGACCAAAGGGGACATCAAGAAGGCGGGAGCATGGGGGGAGGGGTTGTACTTCCGCGTATTTCAAGCAGACAAGGAAGTACAGTTCGAGCTGAAGGCGTCGAGAGTTGAATCCAATGATGATGAGAAATGGCTGAGTGAGAACAACGTGGACATCGGGATATGCAGGTGAGGTCTGCTGGCAGAGACTGAGACTCCCTCACTTGTCCCCAGGATCGTCATTGTTCCTGCCCTGGACTTCTGCCCGAAAGCAGAGTGGCAAGCGATGAAGGATAAGATGGGAAATTCCAACAACTACAGGCTGTCGCTTTCCTGGAAATACTCGGCGAAGTTGAATAGAGTGGGCTCGTCGATCTTACCTGGTGAAGCGATCGGGTTGACATGGAAGGGGCTGATGACCTTGACAGCCTACGTCCTTCAAAGATCGATTCAAGACATGAAATCTCCTCTTATGAGAAGGACCAGCAGCCCTTCCTTTACTTCCAGCATGACGAGCAGGTGTAGTGAACGAGTTGCTGTCTTCCTCCCTCTGATTAGACCCAGTGTCCGGTCTGGCGGGTTTCCAAGGCGCCTCGGCACGAAACTAGTTTATGACGGGAGTTTCAAGCCAGACCTGCCGAGATGTCTCAGCAACGAAGAGCTGTTGGAGAAGATCTGCTCGAGAAGTCCGCAACGTCACTGGGCTGCTCTCTGTTCTCACGCTTGTGTGGCTGGCAGGAGCTAGCAACAGGGAGAAGGACGAGAAGGACGAGCTGGTCCTTCTCAACAGATACTTCCTGCTGTTTCGGGACGTAGCGAACGAGTGCCGGTGGAATCGTTATCTCAGCCGCAACCCAGCCAAGAACTGGTGGGAAGAAAGTCAGGTGAGAGAGCGTCAAGACGAGTCTGCCTCCTCCCTGATCGCTCCTCTTGCTCAGAGCAACATCTTTGACTTTGAGCATCTCAAGTCGATGAAGCGGCGAGTCTGCCATGGCTCGTTGGTCTTGTACTCCTGACGGTGATGCTTCAGAGTGCTGCAGCTGGAGAAGAAGATAGAGAATCATTCTCCCATCGACCTCTCCTCCGAGCTCATGATCCATGTCACTCCCTCCTCCTCCCTCCCTCCTTGACCCGTGCTCCTCCAGTCCGCCAACAGGGTTCAGAGGCACTTCAGAGGTCATCGCGGGAGGGTGCACTACCTGGCCCTGAGGATTCGCCAGCTGTTGAAGGTCCTGCAGCTCTTGCCTTGTGCGTGCCTGCTGACTTGAGGGCTGCCAGACGAGCGAGGAGGTGCGGCAGCTCGTTCACAGGGCCATGATCGAGTATTCTGAGCAAGCTGCTGCCATTGCTGAGGTCTCGTGCTGGGGCGCTGCTGCAGGCGTTGATAAGTCGGCATGCAGGACGCAGAAAATGTCAAGGGTCAGCTGGACGAGCTGTCAGCTGAGAAAGACGACCTCAACTTGGAGAAGAAGGCGCTGAAGAAGCAGCTGGGGAGAAGCAAGACCTTGCAGGATGAAGCCGAGCAGGAGTTTTCCAACGCGCAGAACAATGTGTTGCAAGCAGTTGAGACTTTCTTGGACTTCGAGAAGAAGCGAGCCTACCAAGAGATGTTGATTTACGAGCTGTGCGAGTACTGCGACGCTCGCTTCGAGGTCAACCTGCACGACAAGACGATGGACTTGTGCAGTCAGAAGACGCACCTGTCGGAAGTGAGCCTCAACGACGTCATCAAGGAGATCAACAACGAGATGCGGGAGATCTCGCAGGCGGAGCTCTCTGCGGGGATATTCCGATCGAAGATGGCGGGGGAGGAGGAGTCGCCTGACTTTGACTTTGACTTCATTCAGAGCAGCCAGGAGGCGCAGGAGCACTTCGGGCGGATGTTCTCCGAGTTCTCGAGGATCATCGAGGCTGAAGCCAACACGCTCTCCAACTTCAGGCAGCGACGGTCCTACGCCAAGACCTGCAAGGAAAACGTCAACGCCCTCCTCCGCGAGATCGAATCAACCAGGTGACGCCATGAGCTTGTTATGCTATGAGCTTGTTATGCTATGAGCTTGTTATGCTATGAGCTTGTTATGCTATGAGCTTGTTATGCTATGAGCTTGTTATGCTATGAGCTTGTTATGCTATGAGCTTGTTATGCTATGAGCTTGTTATGCCATGAGCTTGTTATGCTATGAGCTTGTTATGCTATGAGCTTGTTATGCTATGAGCTTGTTATGCTATGAGCTTGTTATGCTATGAGCTTGTTATGCTATGAGCTTGTTATGCTATGAGCTTGTTATGCTATGAGCTTGTTATGCTATGAGCTTGTTATGCTATGAGCTTGTTATGCTATGAGCTTGTTATGCTATGAGCTTGTTATGCTATGAGCTTGTTATGCTATGAGCTTGTTATGCTATGAGCTTGTTATGCTATGAGCTTGTTATGCTATGAGCTTGTTATGCTATGAGCTTGTTATGCTATGAGCTTGTTATGCTATGAGCTTGTTATGCTATGAGCTTGTTATGCTATGAGCTTGTTATGCCATGAGCTTGTTATGCTATGAGCTTGTTATGCTATGAGCTTGTTATGCTATGAGCTTGTTATGCTATGAGCTTGTTATGCTATGAGCTTGTTATGCTATGAGCTTGTTATGCTATGAGCTTGTTATGCTATGAGCTTGTTATGCTATGAGCTTGTTATGCCATGAGCTTGTTATGCTATGAGCTTGTTATGCTATGAGCTTGTTATGCTATGAGCTTGTTATGCTATGAGCTTGTTATGCTATGAGCTTGTTCTGGCTCTGACTGGATCGTCCAGCCGACTCATGTCATCCATCGAGTCGCAGCAGGAGACGTTGGACTTGACCTTCAGGCTCATCCGGCAGAGCTTCAGGTTCGTTCAGCTGCGGAAGGCACGGCTCCAGCAGCAGTCCAAGAAGATGGAGTACATGCACGTCGTCCTGATCGAGCTGGAGGATGCCTGCGAGAACATGAGCCACCAGGTGGGGGAGGAGATCGCCTGCGCTTGCATGACCGCTCTGCAGGACCTCGACTTCTGGAGTCTGCTACAGCATGTGGCCTACGAGAAGCTGGGGGACCAGAACTTCTCCGTCTTCGACCAGCCAGCAGCGTTGAACGAGCAGGAGGAGCCGCTGGAGAATCTCGGCCGAACCGTTTCCAAGAGCAACGAGATGCCGATAGCTGAGCGGCGAGAAATCATCGAGAAGTCGCTGCTTGAGGTGTACGACAACGACAAGACTCCTGAGGACCTGCAGGAGATGATGTCAGAAGCATCGAACCCCCTGAACGAGCTCGAGCTCGTCATGAAGTTGCCTCGCAGGTGCCTCTCGAGCTGAGAAAAGTTTGACCCTTGACTTCCTTGCTAGCCTCGACGTCCCCGACAGCTCTCAGTTCCTTCCCGCAGCCAAGGTGGCCATCTTCAAGTACCTGGTGGATCAAATACAGCACGGGACGGGGCTGCTCAAGATCCTGGACCATGCCAACCTGTCGGCGTGGGACGTGATCCGCCTAATGGAGATTTGCGTGCTGCAAGGCTTCGACCGCGAGCAGTTCATCTGGGAGCAGAACAGCGAGGGGGATGAGTTTGGGTTCGTGTTGACAGGTCGGCTGCTCCTCCTCCTCTCTCACGCTGACTGCCCGTCAGGATGCATCAAGGTCCTCTACAACCGCAGAGAAGTCTCCAACCTCAGCAGAGGCCAGGTGAGAACCAGCTCGAGTTTGCGGGGGAGATGGGAGCTAGCAGAGGGAGGAGGAGGGTTCCGAGCATGAGAGGCTTGGCAGGCTTTCGGTGACCTGGGGCTGATGACACCGGGCATGGAGCAGCTGCGAGGGGCCTCGTTCCGAGCTGAGGTCGTGACGTTTGTGCTGCTCTTCCAGTACCAGAAGTTTGCGGACTACGTGAGGCTGCTGGGGGCAAAGTTTGAGAGCGGTTTGCGGTCGTACCTGGCGCACTCTGACGCCATCGGGAGGGAGAACTGGTCGCAGTACGGGAACGCGGCGAAGAGCATCGAGATCTGCTACCTGGAGTTCATGAGCAGGAGGAAGGGGATCCTGGGGCTGTTCACCATGTCGGAGATCAGGAGCCTTGCAGCCATCTCGACGTACCAGAGGCTGAAGCAGGGGGAGATCCTGTGCCGGCAGGGGGAGTCGGCGGACAATCTCTTCATCCTGCTCAGCGGCATCGCTCTCATAGTCATCAACAACAACGTCGCCGCCTACATCTCGAGGGGTCAGGAGATCGGAGAGCTCGGGCTGATCGACCAGTTCTGCTCCACCCGCACGGCCACCATCAAGGCGCACTACGACTGCGAGGTTGCGTCCATCAGCTACGACAGCTTCTTGGAATTCCACGCCATGCTGAGCTTCAAGCAAGCTGAGAAGGTCGCCAAGTACGTCGCTGACAGCGCCATGCCCAAGTACTTCGCTCTCGAAGAATCCAAGAAGCAAGCCTCCGGCTCCGATGAGACCACCTCGAACCGCGAGACCTCTCCTACCCTCAGGATAGGTGACCCCTCCCTTCTCCATGCTTGACCCCTCCCTCACGCATGCCTGACCCCTCCCTCCACCATGCTCTCCCTCACGCATGCATGACCCCTCCCTCACGCATGCCTGACCCCTCCCTCACGCATGCATGACCCCTCCCTCACGCATGCATGACCCCTCCCTCACGCATGCCTGACCCCTCCCTCACGCATGCCTGACCCCTCCCTCACGCATGCATGACCCCTCCCTCACGCATGCCTGACCCCTCCCTCACGCATGCATGACCCCTCCCTCTCGTCCTTGTCGCTCTCTCACGCTCTCTCAGTCAGCACCAAGCCCATCTTTCCGGGCCTCGAGTCGTCCGTGGGTGAGTCGAGCTGGAGGCCAGCTGGACCTGATGCCATGCGCAGGGAGCAGCAGAGGCGACGCCAGGCCTCGAGACCGGAGGTGGAGCGTCGCCGACATCCAACGACAGAAGGAGGGGAAGAACGGCTCGCCGGGCAAGCTCGGCAAGTCGCTCTCCTTCAAGACCTCCGCAAGCTTCACCAGGTGGTCGAGCTCAGCTGCGCTACTCTCGCATGTCGACACGCTCGAGGAGGGGAAGGAGGACCTGTGCTCCTCCCCCGACACCGTCACAGTCCGACCCGCCGCCTCCAGATCTGCCTCCTTCGCGAGCGGGCGGCAAGAAGGAGGGGACCGTATTAGCGTGAAGCTTGAGAGATACAGAGAAGCGCTTAGGTTGTCCAACTACCTCCCGGGCAGCAGCAGCAGCAGCAGCAGCAGCAGCAGGAGGTCGGTTTTCAGCTGCAAGGTGCCGAGAAGCCCGAAAGCCAACAAGTACCTCAAGGAGCAGAGCCGAACTTCGGACGAGTTCAAGTCGCAGGTGGTAGAGAGGATCAAACTCGTGCTCCGCTGCCTCTTCCGCAACGTGGCCCAGGCGTTCATGCTGCTAAAGCCTGACGACGCCAAGGCGATCTCGCCCTTCGCTCTCGCCGCGGGGCTGCAGATGTGCGGGATGAAGAAGTTGCAGGGGTCGACCTTGTTCTACGTGGTCGGCCTTAGCAACCTGATCGGACTCAAGGAGTTCTGCAGCGTCTTCGACTGGAACAGCTCGGGGGGTCACGAGGAGATGGCTGCAGCTGCTGAGGAGGAGGTGAGAATGAAGCGCAGCAGGATCAGAGAGTCGATCGGGGCGAAGGGGACGAACGAGCCGGAGGATGTGACGCTTGCAAAGTTGGAAGGGATGAGGGACCTGTACCTGAAGCACATGCTTGCAAGCACACAAGGAAGGAGCTTGTCGCAGACAACTTCTCCTCGCCACCTCCCTGCTCTGAGCCTGAGTCGAGCAGCAGATAGCTCGTTGAACTTGCTGATAGGAGGGGAAGGCAGCGACAAAGACACCATCTTCAACGTCCTGCTCTCCATCAGCTGCTTGAGGGGAGCCCGGCCCCCTCCCACTCCTCCGTCAGAGAGGTCGAAGAGCTCTCCTCGTCCCCCTAAGTCAGCAAGAAAGTTGGAAGTCACTAGGAGCCCGAGAGTTCTCAGCTCCTCTTGACGTGCGAGCTGCTGGGCCGGAGGTGGGGAGGGCGAGGGGTTGTAACGACAACTAGGGAGGTCGAATGCGATGTGTACAAGGTGTAGAGTAATACAAGGGCGATGACGATGCTGCGTGAGAGACTGTGCTGCTGGGGGAAGGAAGTATAGACCCATCAACGGACGAGATTGACTCACCGACAACTACTTGTGCTACCAAGAGCTTGCTTTCAATCGCTCTTCTCAACTCTTCAACTTCTACCAAGAGGCTGTCCCCTATCCCTCCCCTCACCTCTTGAACTTCGTCTTCATCTGGAAGCCGCTCCCCTGCAAGCTGCTATCACTGCATGCTCTGAGTCGAACAGCACGACAACACTCACAGGTTCCATCGCCATCATCGCCAACTCCCTGCTGTTCTGCTCTCAAAGTTAAGAATTCTGCGCTCCCAGCACCTCCCCAGCTACCGTAGGCAGCGGCTTCCCAGAAAGAGCTCGCTTCCTCAGCCAGCCGTGAAGCATCTTCAGCTCCTGCCTGACACGTCAGCGAGCTGGAAAACAAGTGGAGCAGGGAGGTCACGTCGAATCTTTTCAGCACTTTGTTGATTTCCATCACTGACTTCCCCGTCGACTTCGCCAGCCTCGCCTTCTGCTCAACAGCCTCAGCTCGATGCCTTGACAAGCTCAGCCCAGCACCTCTTCAGCTTTCAGCCTGTCGGGCTCGCGGCGGAACTCGGGAGGGATAACGTCGAGCACGCTCATGGTCTCTTGACTGGCAGGATAGTCACGTCGCCCGGCGGTCAGAGGACACACTCACAGCTGCAGCATCTCCGGTGAGTTCTTCACTCCCGGCAGGTGCTGCCTCCAGCTGTTCACGCCGGACTGCTCGGCGCCTTGCCTGGGCAGAGCTCGTCAATGGAGGAGGAGGAGGAGGAGGAGGAGGAGGAGGAGGAGGAGGAGGAGGAGGAGGAGGACGAGGAGGAGGAGGAGGAGGAGATCTGACTTGAAGATATCATGGAGGTCATCAAGATCGAACTTCTCTTTCTTGATCAGCTGCCCCACCTGCAGGAAGGGGTGAGGGAAGTGGGAAGGGAGGCACACGCGCAATACCATGGCATGAAACATTTCTTGCTGCTTCTTGGCCGAATACTGATCCTTGGTTCCTTGCCATGTCTCCTTCAACGAGTCGAAGATGCCTAATTTGGTCTGTGAGGTCCTAAAGCACCTCGACGTGCCGGGTAACTTGTTGATGCTGACACAAGCAAGACTTTAATCAAGATCACTTGTCAGCTCTCCGGAGAGTTCCTCTAATATCTTGCTGGGTGCTCCTGCTCCTGCTCCTGCTCCTGCTCCTGCTCCTGCTCCTGCTCCTGCTCCTGCTCCTGCTCTCTTGCGCTCCCTGCTCTCCTCGTTCCCCAACTTGACTACCATCATGGATCACACGTACTTGCTTCCTTCCCAATCACCCTGCTCCCTGACCTCATCCTGATCGCACCAATACTACAATGCTGACCATCGTCTTGACTGCCAACACCAACACCAACAAAAAACATCATCAAAGTTAAGTCATCATTATCGTCGTCATCATCATCAGCATCGTCATCGTCTTGACTGCCAACACCAACACCAACACCAACACCAACACCAACAAACATCATCGTCGTCGTCGTCGTCGTCATCGTCGTCATCATCATCATTGCTCATCATCTCTTCATCTCTTCATCTCTTCATCTCTTCATCTCTCCATCTCTCCATCTCTTCATCTCTTCATCTCTCCATCTCTTCATCTCTCCATCTCTCCATCTCTCCATCTCTCCATCTCTTCATCTCTTCATCTCTCCATCTCTTCATCTCTCCATCTCTCCATCTCTCCATCTCTTCATCTCTCCATCTCTCCATCTCTCCATCTCTTCATCTCTTCATCTCACCTGCTTCTCGCTATCGTCGCTCCTCCCCGGAGCAAACACGCCAGCCCATGCATCTTGGACATGGTCGACCACCCTTGGTAAGCCGGTTATAACCCCCTTCTTACGACAGAACTTAGAGGACCCGGTACTTTATCAAACTTTTGTATACCAAAGGTGGGTACTTCCTGGGTGTATGGAAGGCATGAGTACCCCTACCCCCCATAGAAATTTTGTTTTGGGATCCTTCATGGCGACGGAAGAGGGATGGATGCGGGCGGAGGGACGACCGAAAGATGCGTAAGAGCATGGAACCTCCTCCTCCTCCTCCTCCTCCTCCTCCTCCTCCTCCTCCTCCTTCCTCCTCCTCCTCCTCCTCCTCCTCCTCTTCCTCCTCCTCCTCTTCCTCCTCCTCCTCCTCCTCCTCCTCCTCCTCCTCCTCCTCCTCCGTATCTCCTCCTGCATCTTCCTCCTCCTCCGCATCTCCTCCTGCATCTTCCTCCTCCTGTATCTTCCTCCTTCCTCATACTCATACTCGTACTTGTCTTTCTCCTACTCGTACTCCACAACCACCATCTACTCTCCACCTCCTGCACTTCCTCCACTATCACAACTACTCCTACCTCTGCTACTACTTCCTCTACCTTCATCTCCTCTCCCTCCTCCTCCTTCACCACAACCACTACAACCGCCACCTACTTACTACACCATCACTACCTTAACCACCTCCTCCTCGCACCTTCACTATCACCGTCACAACCATCAACTGCAATCAACCTTGCAACTACCACTACATCACCTAGTGGAGAACGATCCTGCTTGCCTGATCATGGGTGGTTTGCAGGCCATTGATACAAGGAACAATCTCTGTGAACGAGCAAGGCTTCTCCTTTGCCTGCTCAAGGTGACGTCTGCTGAGCTGTTGGCCATTTCAAAGTTCTGATACTCCTCCCGGGTACAGTTCTGAATTCAATGTGACCTGGCCAGCTGAAGACTTGGTGAGCTGGGGAGGAGGCGGAGGAGTGGGAAGCAAGTAGTGTGGAGGAAACGATTTTGAGGAGGAGCAGGGGAAGGACGAAGGAGCAGGAGGTAGCTAACGAACATGCAGCTCAAGCCGATGGCAAGCACGAGCAAGTACTTACTCAAAGTTCGAGGAAGGTCTGTTTACCTCCTTCTTCCACCTCTAACACGACCTGACGGACTGCTGCAGGCCACCGAAGAAAGATGTCATCTTTGACTTCACCCAAGTAGCCGCCACTCCCCTTGTCTTGCTCTCTTACGGGGGCTCAGGCTGAGGGAGATGCTGAGCGGAGAATGAACAGCGTGAAGAACGCCATCCTCACCCACATGCCCAAGACGGCTACGACAACTGGCGGGGGGGGGCAGGCGACACAAGGTAACGACAAGCTTGCGATGGAGAAGACGTCTGCGGCGATCGCGAAGCTCGGCAAGGATAACTTCGTGTTTGCACTGCGACAAGAGCTCGTGCTGGTGTGAAGTCCTTCCCTGCTCCTCTCCCCTGCTGCTCGTCAACCCCCACCCTGCCCTGCACCTGATCTTGCTGTTTCTCCACCTCCTCCCTCCCTCCCTCCCTCCCTCCCTCCCTCCCTTCCCTTTGCACAGCTGTCGAACCCAGATCCTTTTCCCTTACCTCACTCTTCCACGTGTTCACTTTCCCTCCTCGCCCTGTGCTTCACTCTCTCCCTCTCCTTCTCGTTCAGGGTGATCATTTTCTCTGCAGAGCGGGATCATGAGCGAGGAAGAATTCTGGCAGAGGACGGAGAAACTGGACTCCTCCCGTCGTGCTCCTCCTCGTATCGATCCTCCCGTTCCCTCCGCGATCCCTACCATGACCGACATGGTTCGAACCAACACGGAGGTGAAGGTGACGCTGGACGAGGGACAGATCCACAAGCTGTACCTCGACTTCCCGAGCCTCAAGGCGAGGGAGGAGGAGTTTGTTGGTTCGGGGAAGCTATCGAGGACGGCTTTCTTCACTGGGTTCTACGATTATCTGGAGAACGGCAAGACGGGACTGGTGGATTCGAAGAACCAGCAAATCTTTGAGCCGGTCTTTGAGCACGCGAACAACCTGTCGAATCAGAATGAACAGAAGAAGATGAAGAGAGCCCTTTGTCAGGTGACATCTCTCCCCTCCCATCCCATCCCATCCCATCCCTCCTCTCCTTATCCTTCTCCCTCTCTCCTCTTGAGACTCATGCCGCATCCTGCAGGCGCACAGGTCCGTCAACCTAACCGCCATCCTGCCTCTGTGCGACTTCTACGGAGGTCCGCGCGGGGCCGGGCTCGCGAGCGGCCCTGTGACAAAAAGGCAGAAGCTGCTGTGGGAGGCGAGGTCAGGGAGGAGCGTAGCGGACAAGAATAGCGATCCGAGTCGGGTGGTAGAGCGAGTGAATCGCCATCAGGCGTCAGTGGTGGAGACCTTGAAGTCTGACATGGAGGCCACCCGGGATGGGGCGGAGGAGCCGCAGGTCAGTGCGGGCAGCTCGACGCATGCAAGCTGGCAGGAGTCGCTAGGTGGAGCGTTCCGAGAGAGCGACATGTACACGAGGGAGGGGGCGACGGGACGAGAGTTGAAGGTGGACAAGATGCAGATCTTAGCCAAGGGCTCGCGTACTAAGGAGAACGGGGCCAGCAGGGAGAGGCGGGGGAACGGAGAGCTCTCCTCCTCCAGCCCCGTCGAGGAGTGGAAGATTAAGTCTCGCCGATCCGTCGCTCCGTCGCCTGCCGGCTTCAGCGACCTCAATGCGCTCCCCGCAGGCAAGAGCGGGAGGGGGTCACGAGCTGAGCCCATCGGGGAGGACGTGAGGAAGAAGGAGAGCGTCATCAAGGTGAGGGCGGCAGGAGGGTCGCTCGCGTGACTTGCTTTCAGGGTTTGCTGCGGCACTTATGGGCTACCATCGGGTCGCTCCTGCTTGTTGCCTTCGATGTATCTGACATGGCAAGCCAGGTTTGGCAGCAAGGCATCAGCATCATCGCTCGACATGTTGTCTAAGCTCCAGGCATGTTATGTTCTCTTCCTCCTCTGCTCATCTCTCCTCTCCCCTCACGGATCTGCTGCAGTCGAAGTTGGAGGCGCATGAAGCGGAGCTGGTCAAGATGGTCAAGCGCGATCTGCCCGGGGACCTCAAGGCAGGTGCTCAGTCTCGCTCCTCGCCTGACCTCATCCGCAGGCGCTCGAGCACGCGCAAGAGCTGATCAGAGCCGCCAAGGCCGTCAATGCCTAGACTTGAGGGCCGTCGGACTTTGAGCTGCCAGGGAGGTCAGAGAGCTGCCCAGGAACACCAACAAGACGAACGAGGGGAGGGGAGGCGCATGAAAGATCGAACTACATTCTTGTACTTTACAGTCACCAACCCGTGTGCTTGCTTAACCCCGATGTGAATATCTCGTATCAAACCGTGACTCAGGCTAGTTTTAAGGGTCCAGCGGCAGTGATACAGGACTGTCTGTCCATCGAGCCTCTTTAGTTACTGAGCTGGTTACGGCAGTGAGGCCGTCCGGGGGTTGGGAGGGGGGATGCGGCCGGAGCCCCCGGGGCGAATTCCCCCGGTCACCCCGGCGGTTCTCACTGACAGTGAGTCACGGCCGCTCGGTGTCTGGCTTCCGACTGTCACTCACAACCCGTCGGGCCCGTGATTCGGATAATGCACAGCCGGGCCGCAGGCTGCGGCCGGGTTGCCCGCGGGGCCGCGGCACTCAGTGACTGGGCGGGCCGGGGCCGCGGCCACGTCTCAGCGCCCTCTGCCACGGTGCCCGGCCCGGGGGGCCGCGCGGCTAGCGGCCGGCAGGGCCTAGCAGGGCCCGGCTCAGCTGAGCAACCGTGGCCGTGACTGAGGCTTCGTCGGCGAGTAGTTTCCCGGCATTGGGTGATGTGGCCTTGACCACCCCTACCCCCACTTTTCTCCACTCCCCACCATGTTACCCGTTGACAGAGGTGTCCAAGGCATGATCGGACCCAAAAGTACCCCATTACTTAATGAAAAATACGGGTACTTTATGTACCCTACCCCCCTGAGATCTCAGGGTTCCTATCGAACCCCCCTTGTCCCCCTGATTCTCCGCGCACGCCGAAGGCTCTATGGATGTTTGAGAACCAACAACGATGGCTGCTCCTCGACCTTGCCTCTGCTCCCTCCTCTTCGTCATCCTCCTCCTCGTCTTGATCATCCTTCTCGTCCTTATGCTCCCCTTCGTCTTCGTCTTCGTCTTCGTCTTCGTCTTCCTCCTCATCGTCGACTTCCTTCTTGTCTCTTATCTTCTCGCTCCACTACATCTTTCCACACCTCTCAATCCATTGCCTCCTCTTTCTTTGTCTTCTTTCCTGCTTCTTATGATCAGGTTTTCCCTTCATTCTCATACACTTGCTCTTTCTGCACCCCACGCATCTTAACATACTAGTCCTTATTTTTGGTAGATGTTCACCCCTTGTCCTGAAATCCTCTTTGCCTTCCCTTACCTTTTTGTAACACTCGTCGATTTCCTCCTCCTCTTTCCTCTCGCCTTGTTTGGCATGGTCTTGAATGCCTGATAATGGTCGTACTTTTTACTTCCTACTCTGAGAACTAGAACGCCTCGTAGAGCTTGAGCTTGCCTTTCCTCTATCTCCTTTGTCCCAAGGATCGAAATACATATTTTCCATATTGCATGAGGTCGTATTCCCCCTCATTCTCACCATATCTTTCTTGCAGTCTTCAACATGGCCATGCCAACGGTCGTTTGGGTTGCATGGGTCGCTGCCCAGATCTCGGTGAGACGCATCCAGGCCTGCCGTGCGATGTGACTTTTGGTGCAGATGTTCATCTACGCATGCAGAGAGGCGTTCAACATTCGTCTTTATGCTGTCAAGGAGTATGGTCTACTCATCCACGAGTTCGATCCATGGTGACATGAGACGGCGGTCCCTGCTGGATGCCTGACGTTGCTTCAGGTTCAACTTCCGTGCGACCAAGTACCTGGCTGAGAATGGATGGACGGCCTTCTTTCATTGGTTTACTTCTCTGAGAGTAGCGTTCTAATGGCTGACCCGTCGCAGGTACGATTACATGAGTTGGTATCCAGTGGGTCGACCGGTCGGAACCACCATCTATCCGGGAATGCAGATCACCTCGGTGGTGATCTGGAAGGTGATGAGGGATCGAAGAGTTGCCTGCTTCTCACTGAAACGCTCGTGTCGACGCTAGGTCTTGCCCTGGTTTGGCATCAACATGTCCTTGAACGATGTTTGCGTGTATGTTCCTGCATGGTGAGAGTCATTTCACCTTGTTGGTCCAATGACAAATTTTGTCAAGGTTCGGTGTTGTAGCCACAACCTTCCTGGCCTTGTTGACCTGGGAGTGCGCTGGCTTCATGGCGGCAGGAACGGCAGCCGCGCTGGTTCGCTTCCTATTTTCTCAGGAGAAGTTATAGCTGATCCTCAACGTTATGACAGTTCATGTCGATCATCCCTGCGCACATCATGCGATCAGTAGCAGGAGGATACGACAACGAGAGCGTGGCTATCACTGCCATGTGCATGACCTTCTATTTCTGGTGCCGCTCGTTGCGCAACGACAACTCGTGGTGGATTGGAGCATTTGCCGGTCTGGCGTACGTGTACATGGTGAGAGCTGCCGGCGAAGACGAAGGAAGGCAAACAAGTGGGTTAACATGTCTTGTCAGGTTATGGTGTGGGGAGGCTACATCTTCGTCCTCAACATGGTCGGTGCTCACGCGATTGCCGTCGTCTTCACTGGATGCTTCACCTCGAAGCTTCACAGGGCTTACACCCTCTTCTACGTCATCGGAACCGCTGGAGCCACCAGGGTTCCCGTGGTGGGATTGTCGCCGCTGAAGAGCTTGGAGCAGTTGGGTCCCTTCGGTGTGTTTGTCATCATGCAGGTGAGGAGGGTGTGGTTTGAGAGCATGGGACACCTCTGACGGGGAGCAGGTGCTTGAGTTCTGTGAGATCCAACGGCGCAAGAAAGGGCTGACGAGCTTGCAAACTGTACGAGGCGACATCCCCCTCTGCTTCTTCCCCTCTCTCCCTACTGCCCGTCTCCTCTTTCTCTCCCTCTCTCCACATCCTTCCTGTCTTGTCATCCTGTAATGCCTGGTTGTCTCCCATCCCCAGCTTCCAGTCCTCCACATCAACCCTCGCTCTCCTCCAACTTCCGACACTTACCCTCCTCTCTTGACAGTTCAAGCTCCGCATTGCCTCCTTCTCCGTCGTCGCTGCTGCCCTGGCTGGCGTTGCTATGCTCCTGTACCCCACGGGCTACTTCGGGCCCCTTTCCGCCCGTGTTCGCGGCCTCTTCGTGCAGCACACCAGGACGGGAAATCCACTCGTTGACTCAGTGGCTGAGCACCAGCCAGCCAGCCAGCAGGCCTACTGGCAGTACCTCCACTACGCCTGCTACTGGGCCCCCATTGGCTTCCTGATCTGCCTCGCCCGCGTCTCCCCTATCGCCAAGGTGTCGAAGATGTGCGGGGCCTCGGAGTGGTGGTGGAACTGCCGAGCTGACGCGAAGTTCTTCTTGGTCCTCTACGGAATCATCGGCTACTTCTTTTCCTTGAAAATGGTGAAACTCCTCCCCCTTCCCTTCCCCTTCCTCCTGCTGTGTATCTCTCTCTCTCCCTCTCTCTCTCCCTCTCTCTCCCTCTCTCTCCTTGGCTTCCTCCCTCCTCAGACTCTCCTAATTTCCTTCACTCCCTCCTCTCTGTCACGCCCTCTTTCTCAGCCTCTCCCCCCTCGCTCGTTCCTTTCCTTCATCCTTGTTTCTTCTCAACCACGAGCAGGTTCGTTTGGTGCTTCTCATGGGTCCCATCACTTCTGCCCTTGCCGGCATTGCGCTTGGAGCTTTCGGCGAGTGGGGAGTTCACCAGGTAAGCAGGAGGAGGCAGGAAGCAGGAGGGAGGAAGAAGAGGGCGGCGGCAGCGGAGATGGAGGAGGAGAATGGAGGCCAGACAAGCACGTCCTAACTTTCACCCACAGCTCTGCCTGTTGCTCTGGTTTTTGGATGATTCACCGAGCAAGGAGACTGAGGTACGTTTGTGCTCCTGCACCTTATGTTCCATCTTACGGGCGTGCTAGGACTCCAAGGATGCTGCTGCCGGTTCTCTTTCTCTTTATCTTCGCATGCTCACGATCTGACCTTCTCCCCCCTACCGCAGGTGAGGAGTCGGACCAGGACAAGGTAGGAGGCCAGAGAGGCAGGAGAAGTGAGACTGAGAGTGTGAGAGCAGAAGAAGTCAGGCAAGGCAAAGAAAGGAGCATCACGCGCCTCCTGGCTCAGCGAATCGACTAAGGAGCAGTTCAACCAGATGTACAGCATGGTAACTCCCTCTCCTCTCCCCCTCCTCTTCCTCTCCTGTTCCTTTCATCTCTCCTCCCCACTCCTCACTCCCCATCTACCCTTCCCACTTCCTCCACGAGTCATTTTGTTTCCCTCATGTTTCTTGTTGAATAGATCCCTTTCCCTCCGCCTCACTCTCCTCGCACCCTGTCCGTCCTCACTCATCTTGCTCCTCTCCTTCCACTTCAAATTCCTTCTCACTCTTCGATCTCTATAGGGGGAGAGCTTGTCTTCGGTCTTCTACGAGAGCTTCCCGGCCAAGATTGCCCGTATCGTCTTCGCCATCTTCTTCGTCTACTACCTGAGACCCTACGCGCTCGAGTTCAAAAGCTACTGCCATCAGCTCGCTCACGGCATGTCCAACCCCTCCATCGTCTTCAAGGTGTTCCCCACCAGACGCCCAGGTGCAGGTCTGACCAGCCGCAGGCCCACACGAACAACGGGCAGGTTGTGGTGGTCAACGACTACCTGGAGGTAATGGAGGAGGAGGAAAAGGGTTTTTTGGGGGGAGGGGGAGGGGGAGCTGACCGAGAGAACAGGCATACTACTGGTTGAGAGATAAGACCCCCAAGGAGGCAAGAGTGATGGCATGGTGGGACTACGGTTATCAGGTACGGAGTGGAAAGGAAAGGAAGGAGAGCACAACAGAGCAGAGCAGAGGCGAAGATAGAGGACAAGAGAATCTGAAAATAGGTGGAAGTTAAGGAGAGGAGGTGAATAAGAAGGTGAAAAGGGGGGAGGAGGAAGGATAGCGGGGAGAGGTGCCTTTCCCTCGTCCTCGTCCTCCCCCTCCTCCCCTCGTCCTGTTCTCGGAGCACGAGCATGCTGGTGGTGATCGGAACTCGTGCAGATCACTGGCATCGGCGAGCGAACGACCTTGGCAGACGGCAACACATGGAACCACGAGCACATCGCCACCATCGGTAAGAGGGACAGGGGCAAGTGGAGAAAAATGCTGACTCTCTCTCTCTCCCTCTCT